AAGGAGGGGTTGCTATGAGTTGGGTCCAACTCGACGGCACATAACAACAACAACAACAACAACAATAATAACAACATAGAGAAAATAGAAGCAAAGGACGAGGAAAGCGTTTGTGGGCGATAGAGCACAGCAGGGTTTGGAAATTTTATACAGATTGATCAGGAAAGGCTTCATTGAGATGATACTTGAATAAAGACCCAGAGGACATAAGGGAGAGAACAACCTCTCTGGGGAAACAGCTTACCAGGAAATGCAAAGAACTCAAAATAGTGTATTTGAAGAATGAAGTAAAATATGGCTTAAACATTGAGAATAAGGCTGAAAGTAGCAGGAAAGAAGGTCAAATAGAAAAGAGGGGGTGCAGATCAGGCAGGACTTTGACTTTGACCCTAAGATGGGAAGACACTGGATGGTTTGGAACAGAGGAATGATGTCCTCTCACTTAAGTATTATTAGAGCCATTATGACAATAGAGTGGAGAGGGGCTAAGGTTGAAGCAGGAATAAGCAGTTAGGTGGCTTTTGCTGACTCTAGGTGAGAGAGGCTAGTCATCAAGGTTGCCTCGCCTTTATGGAGGGAGGTCTTCCCCAGTCGTATTTTGAGTGCCTTCCAATAAGGGGCTCATCTTCTGGCACTATTTCAGACAATGTTTCACGGTTTTTCATAAAAAAAATAAATTCCCAGTAATATAGCAAATAGTGTTTCACTGCGATTCATAAGGTTTTTACTGGCCAATTTTTTTGAAGTGGATGGCTCTGTCCTTTCCAGTCTTTCTTAGTCTAGAAGCTCCATTGAAACCTGTCCACCATGCATGACCCTGCTGGTATTTGAAATACTGGTGACACAGCTTCCAGTTTCACAGCAATACACAAGCCACCACAGTATGACAAACTGACAGATGAGTAGTGATTAATGAGGATAAAAACTCACTGCCATCAAGTTGGATCCGGCTCAAAGTGAGTGATCCTTCTTTGGGTTTCTGAGGCAGTATCACTATGGAAGTAGATTGCCCAATCTTCCTTCTGAGGAGTGGCTGGTGGCTTTGAACTGCCAGCCTTTTGGTTAGCAGTCAAATGCCTTAGGCACTATGCCACCAGAGCTCTCAAACCCACTGATTCCAACTCATAGTGGTCCTATTGAACAGAGTAGAATTGCCCTATAAGGTTTCTAAGACTCTAAATCATTATGGAAGCAGACTGCCTCATCTTCCTTCCTGAAGCAGCTGGTGAGTTCAAACCACCAACTTTTTGGTTACCGGGCAAGGACTTTGACCACTGTGCCACCAGAGTTCCCTGTGGGTGATAAACTGTTCCTATATTCTCATTCATTCTTTGGGAATGTATCATATTAATAAATGTCCATCGTTGCATTTCTACGACCAGATTTACTTACAGTGATGATTTTCTTGTCATATGTTAAGTTTTATTGGCTAATATTTAGGTATTTTACATCTTTAATTAAGTAAGATTGCTGTATAACTTCTTAAAATTATCCTCCTTGAGGATAATATAAGGTAGGGTAATTACAGGCTAATTTCACTTACGAACGTAGATGCAAAAATTCTGAAGGAAATATTAGACAACTGAATTCAGTAATCTATTTTTTAAAATATGTAAGGACTAATTTGCATCTATGCAGGAACACAGGTTTATTTAAATTTTCATATTAATGTAATTAAACATGTAACTTTTGAAAGAATGTAGAATCACATGATCATATCCCAATAAATACAGAAAAAGGATATTTATATAATTCAACAGTCAAGAAAAAAAAATCTTATAAATTGAGAATCAGTGAGAAATTCCCATTAAATCCAGTATAGATGCCCTGATATAGACCCCCTGCATCCCGAACAAACCTTTTAAAAACTAACCAAGCTGATGATTATGTGTATATGAAATAGCAAAAGGCCAAGAAGAACCGGTACCTGAAGTAGAGGAACAGGGTTTAAGATAATATTATTTCAGGCTATTGTGAAACCGCTTTCACACATTCTTTCATCCTTCACATTGATTAAAGATACTTCACACATGAGCAAAAAACATTCCAAGTTAATTCAATTCTATTTTTCTAGAATGATGTTTCTCTGAAAGAGAATAAATCATCCATATTGTAACATAAAACAGGTTGTTACATGTGTTTTTAAAATGTTCTTCCCTCTTTATTCAAATAAAGCATTAATTAGAAATGCTGAAGCATCTCAGGTGTCCAATACATTTTTGTTAAATGAATGCAAGATGCAGGCAGTGTGTTTAATATTTTGTTTAAATCTAGAAATGATCTTTCTTATTTATTTATTATTATTATCTCTTTTTTTTTCCTCCCCTCAATTCTCACTGAAGAATTTTGACTGGCCAATTGAAGGACTACTTGTTCCAAACAGCCCTCCCCTGAAGAGACCTGTCTGTAAGACACCGGAGCAGTATGTTCCTGTGAGACTCAGAGTTTTGCGAAATGGAGACAAGAATACAAACAGAGCTATTGCTGTAATTGGTCCAGACAGCTCACCTAGACGGAAAGTGCAGTAAGAGCAACTTGTTCCCACCTCTCATTAAATACACTTTCTAGTTCCTACAGATTTTTGTCTTCTTGCTTAAAGATGTTTTCTGGAGACTTGTGTTTATTAAAGAGCTCTGATGGAGTAGTGATTAATGCACTAACCTTTTTGGCTGCTAACCAAAAGGTGGGTAGGTGGTTTGAACACACCAACCACTCTGTGGGAGAAGGTTGAGGCAGTCTGCTTCTGTCAAGATTTACAGCCTTGGAAGCACTATGGGGCAGTTCTACTCTGTTCTAAAGGGTGTCTGTAAGTCAAAATCAACCTGTTGGCAGTGGGTTTTGTGTTTATTCAAACAAAACCCTCACATGATATTTGGAGATGAAAATATATACTAATATTCATTTAGTTTCTCTATCAGGTACTTAATTTGAACTCTGCTCAGTTAGGGTAAGCATAGGAGAAGATAATGAGTTGGAAATGAGTCCTTCTGATTAAAAAGAAAAAAAAAAATCCATGATCAACATGTCCATTTTGATCATTTTTTTTTGCCTGAGTTTTATTACTGTATTTTGAAATAACTGAATTTATATAAATTGCTTCTTAAATATAATTCTGTAACTACTTATTTAGATTATTATTATATATAATTAGTTGACTATGTTTAAACCTTTGAAAACTTGATGAAAAAATACAGTTCTCAAAAATATAACTTTATACAATTTATATTCTTGCCTTGGCATAACACTTTCAAACTTTATTGACCTAGAAAAGCATTGACCTGCACTTTAGCTTACCTTATAAAACTGGGATAAAATCTTCCCTAACAGCCAATATTTCTCCAATATTGGAGAAAAATCACCTGCAATATTTTCATTACATTTTATAGCAAAAGGAATAAGATCACTGAAACATTCTGATGCAGAGAATGAGTTAAACACATTGTTTCTCATATTATTAGCAATGATATTACCTCTTGACCTTTCTTTTGAGCTGGTTAGAATATTTGAGTCTGTGATAATAGTTTAATATTACTTTCTTCACATTGATTAAATATACTTCATACATCACTGAACAATGAGTAACATTCAGATGGGCTGTCCACTGAACTGCCTGTAAAGATGATAAAGTAAAAAATTAATCTTCACAGTAAAGTCAAGCCTGAAATTGAAATCTTTGACGCATACATTTCATAATTAGCTCATTCTGCTAGATGTAATATGGGAGGGTAAAGCCTTTAAAGTAGTATATGTCTTTTTTTTTTTTTTTCTAACATCCAAAGTTCACAAATCATTTCAGTCCTTTCCTAAATTTATTTTTGTCTATGTATTTATTTGTGGATCAAAATTATATATAGAATTTATTTTATCATATTAATATATATTTTTTTTAATTTTATTTTTTTATTGTGATTTGGGTGAAGATTTACAGAGCAAATTCACTTTCCATACAGCAGTTTACATATACTTTGTCTCATGATATTGACCACATTTTACCACAATGCAACAGCTCCCTTCCCACTTCCTCCCCATAGTTACTTCTTCCCTGTGTCCATCCCTCCATGTACTCCTGCCCCATGAGCTGTCTCCCTGTGCATAAGCAGCCCTTCTTTTTCCCATGATTGTTCTCTCCAAGGAGTGTATCTACTTGAGGTTAATGTTCAACTCATATGCCTGTCTTTTGTTTGGCTGGAACCACAGGTGTGGGTTCAATTCCAGACCTGAAGGGCAGCTAGGGGCCATAGTCTCAGTGGTTCCACCAGGCTCTATCAGACCAGCA